TGAAAAAAAAAAAACAGGAAAAGAAACTAAACTGTAAACTCAGAGTAACAGCCCTTGAGAAAAACTCAACAAAAATCCCTAACATATGCAGGCTCCCTGCTTTCAGATAAAATTCACAATAGAGCGGTCTTGCTGTTCAACTGCTCTCATGAAATTGCAATATGATTGAGAACAACTTTTGAACCAGAAGAAAACATTAGATCTTTTCATTTTGGAGGACTGAGAAGTTCTCCCTGAGGTAGGAGAGAAGTGCAGGTATGAAGTTAACTTGCAATCACTGCTCAGTTCTCTGTGCAGCATTTGTTTGCAATGTTCTTCTCTTTGCCATAATGCCATGATAGTGCTTTTCAGTGGAGAATAAATGATAGAACTTTAACCACTGCTAAGTCTGCAAATCGATTGAGCCTTCAGTGTACAGCAACAGGAGTCTTCAGTTAAAAAAAAAACAAACATTGTAATGAAGCCCAAGTCTTTCGTCATTCGCCTTTTCACCTTTCAAGTTTTCTGTCCCTGTTATATCAGTGTTAGATTTAATACACATAAGTATCAGTTCAGCACAGCCATCCAACATCCTGCTCTGTACAGGCAAACCCTGTCACTATTCTAATAAACCTCTAAATGTATCCAAATCCTTCTGAAGACTTTCAGAGAACACAACAAATAGTGCTTTGCTTGTTGTCAAGTGGAAATGATTAGTTTATTTCTAAACACCAAGCTTCTGAGAAATAAAACAGCATGGTAAATGAGGCCACCCTCCTTCTTTAACTTGGTTTTAATAGCTTGCTGCACTAATGGCCAGAACTGTAATTGGGTGGGAGAACTTTGAGCTGCTCCATAATTCAACTGGTGGAGTATTAATGTTATATATTGGAAACATTTCCACAGACCACAAAAGGCTAATGTGTCTCAGGAGCGAGATTCATTCAGGAAGGTCACCGTGCATCTCAACTTGCCTGCTCTCAGGTAAGCCAGGCACAGGGTGTATGTAACCTGTGCCTTATGGTCCCCTGTCCCAGACTCTGTGTGTCCTGGTGACAGAGTGCTGTTGCTGCTCCGGACTCGATGTCCTCTGCTGTTCAGCCAGCACTGGGTGGCAGCTTGGGCAGAGGGGGTGGTGCTGCCTCCAGCCAGAGGAGGTGCCTGTGGAGGGGTGCCCTGCAGCAGGGGCCCAGCAGACCTGCGAACACCTAAGTTTTAGATATTTTGGAAATTTCTGTGGCAGTTAATAGTATTCTCTGCAAACCTCTGCAGGATGGACTCCTTTGATGTGACATCAGTGACAACCAGCCCCTCCTGGCACCTGTGAGTTGCCTGTTGGCTGAGAGCCGTGGCACTGGGCAAGTGTATGCAGGAATATGATGAAAAGGGAGAATTAATTTGACTTAAGGGGCAGCATATCTTATCTCTTCTAATTAATTCATGAGAAAATTGTGTCTGTATGAAGAAAAATCCTGTTCCTTGTGCTGATTACAGCAATTCAAACAACAAGACAAGAAATCTCAGTACAAGAACCTGACGTGGACTTCAGTGAATATCCTCACTGGTGGGTTATTAGTAATTATTGGATGAAGAGTGAGTCTGACAAGAAGTCTAAACTAAGACAGAGGAAATTCAAGGAATAATTTTACTTAGTTATGAAGAAAGATGTTAATTACTGTATACAATTACAATATAAGTTAGAATAAACTGGTCTGAACTCAGACACCAAATTGCATTTTGCAGAAGGTACCAAACCAGGGCAATAAAAGCATGAGAGGAGCTGGAGAAGTTTAAAAGTATTTCCAGAACTGGATATTTGGTAAGAATGAAGGCAAGATAACTGAAAAAGTGTATATATTTTATATCTGCCAAATTCACTGCAAGGGATTAAAAGGAAAGGGTATTTGGTTCCTCATCTCAGGTTAAATTCACTGGGGAGTGTTTCCTCTCCCATTCAAAGACCCCATGAAGTTACAGGGCACATGGGCTCACTGCACTCCTGACTGTAGCAGCGGGTGGCTGCTCAGGCAGAAAGCACAAAAATTTCCTTATTGTCATTTTCCTTACTATAACCTGTAAAAAATCTCCATCTCTGCAAACAGCAGCACCTAATGCCAAATAGAAATTACTGCCTGAAAACTGAGTAACCATGGGTGACCACAAAATTATTTCTTTCTTAGAGACTCAAGGAATACATGATTTGCTTTAGTTTTTTTTCCTCCCTCACACATACAGGGTATTCAGAGTTTTCCTATCTGTAGCACTGATTATTGACTGATGTGTTGTAGACAGTCTGGGAAAAATAATTAAGACAAGCAGATCTGGAGGTATTTTCAGGGATTTCAAACAGAGCAAGATTGTAGTGTACTTTGAGAAGTATCCTCGAAGATGTAATGGCAGTTTGGTGTCCTCAGGTGTGCGGTGGCAAATGGTATTTTTTGTTGTTCTTCTAGATTTATCCTGCTCCTCTCTGCATACAGCAGTCCCTTCCAGCAAAATCACTTCATTCATTGTATAAGAAACTTTAAAAGACATTAGAAATTAACAAATGAAAACCTGGGTGGTTTTTTACCAGGTAGTAAAGCTAAGCATCAAAGTTTACTGAAGTGCGCCCCTGGACATATAGTGGAATCCCTTTTCCTTTGGGGAGACGTGTGTCCAGGGAAGGGGAGAGCAAGCACACTAAGCCTCCAACTCTTATTTTCATGCTTCCCATTACAGACTCCATAAGTGCCCAAATAAGAAAAACGTAACTCATTGCTGGAAACAGAATACTTTTTGTCCCACATGAAATGCTTTGCTAGTGAAATCTGGTACAGGCTTCATGTTGAAATAATTGATATAAAGTTCAGCTTACTGCATTGTGATACTTCAACCCTCAAAGCACTTTGGTCAAGAAGCAGGAGCAGGGAGCATGCAGCCCTCTCCTTCACCCCTGAGCCCTGGGGCACCAGCAGCAGAGGGGGAAGGGTTTTGGAGATGGTGGCAGGCTGGGAAGAGCAGAGCATCTCTTTCACTGCCCAGGTGCAAGTACAGCTTACAGTCTTGTCCAGGTTTCAGAGGCAGTGCAAGGGTTCACATGGTTTTGTTTTGTTGTCTCTCGTGCACCAGGTTAGGTGTGAGTGCCCTGAGCTGGCACTCAGGGAAAGACCAGCTGCCCCTGCAAACAGCCCTGGAGCTCTGCCACTGCTGGGCAGGAGGGCTATGGCAGCTCCCACAATGGCTGCAGGCAGCAGGGAACTATGAGGCTGTTCCAGCTCCAGTAGAAGAAAGCCTGTGTGGTTGTGCATGAAGCTCAGAGCAATAGGAATAAACTTCTCAGGTCATAAAGTTTGATCTCCTTCCTTACTGCCTCACTGCGCTGGTAGCTTTTAGTCACCTTGTGAGCTGATAGCTCTCCTCTTTCCATGTCAAAACAAAGTAAGTCCCCATGTGAAAGCTACAGTTCCACTTAGGGTGTCTGCAGGTGCATGATGTAGAGTTGGTGCAGTCAAGTTTAATACATTTCTAATATTTCAACCCACAAAGTCTCATACATAGTATTTTGGTAATCCCATCACCCTTACAGTACCAATTAACTCTGTAAGATGCACAGATTTCATTAGGATTCTCCTACCTGGTTAATAAAAGGTATTAAATAAAATAACTTGAAATGCTGAGCATTCAAAAATAGTGGTACCCCTCTTTCCTGATGGCTCTTCTTTCAGCACAGCCCACAGTTGTCTTCCTCTTGGCCTGTTTTTGCCCACAACAATAGTGCTTGGTTAAGCAACCTGTTTCTGTATGGCACCTCCTCAATGAGGTGAAGGTGGTTTACACCCAATGTGCCCCACTTGCAAAAGGTCACTCCTCTTACTGAGGAATGGTGTGAGATGAGGCTGAGGATAGACAACTTTGAGGAGTGTATACCAACCTTCATGTCTTTCTTTATCTTTTGACTTCATAAATACTTCCAAATCATAGTTCAATATTGAGGATGGACTAAAATGGCTACAATAGTTGAGATTGCTTGGATTTCCCTCTTTATAATGTAGCTTTCACTCACATATTGATGCTCTTCATTTGATAGATGTTTGGCAAAAGAGACAGGTTCTGTGCAACAAAATCTTTTTTTCAGGTGGAATATGGGCACTTTCAGTTTTGCATTCATATTCCCATTTCTCAATTTTCTTTTCATGGTCTAATTGGGTTTGTTCACATCCCTACACTTTCTTACCTGTAAGAGTGAAGTTTGATTTTTCAATCAAGTTTGTTTTCAGTAACTCATCCAGTGTTTACTCCTGCGGAGGTGACAGACAAGGCATCCTCTTACAAGGTTTTTCTCCTTGTTTGGGGATGATGTTTTTGAAACAGACTTTTTTTCGTTTATGGAGAGAAATGTCATGCTCAAGTTCTTCAGTTGAGCTGATGCCATTAAACTGTTTCACCAATTTCTTAAAGCTTGACATTAGAAACTAAAAATCTGATTCAAATACTTAATTCAATTGCTTTTTTTCACCTTTTAATTTAGAGTAAATCAAATTGTAAGGAACTGGCATCAATGTCTTACCCAGATAGGCATCAGCTAAGACAATTTAACTCAATTCCATAGCAGTTTTTGGCATATGGAGCAAAACTCTTCCAGGCTCAGTATCAGGTGGGTGCAGAGATCCCCACTGTGGGCAGGGAAACCGCAAAGCAGAAGGAAAACATTAAGTGTTTTGAAACAGTTGTGAGAGGCCCTGCAGAATTTATGGCCTTCAGGGGCCTGTGAGAGGTTTACGAGTCCGGAAGGTTTCTGGGGAGCAGTTTTGTGTGGGCTTTTGCAGGTGGTTCCCCGAGATCATACATCTCCGTTGGCTGGAATTACTGCATTTTGGATCTGGTGCTGCTTTGGGTTTCGGAATGGCAAGTCATGTCCTTCTGGGGAAATGTGGAATTCTGCTGCAGAGCAGTAATCCCATTCTCAGATGCTCTGCATCACCAGGAGGACAGGCAGGCTCCTGGCATGACGTAACAGTATCAGTGAAGACCAACATGCTGTTTTGGAAAACAGCTGTTTGTAAAATGTCTGTGCAAGGTCAGAAGGAAAAAAAGCCTTATATTCTGGTCAGCCTAAACTGAACAAATTTATTCCTCCAGGTAGTTTTATTTTCAGTGGAACTTCTTGCAGCGGTACAGAAGATAGTGTACTGATGTGCTGAAAATCTAGTTTTGTGTGTTTTCTCTTTGACTTTTCATCAGAGGCCTATCTTTTCTGATGATCAGTTGTTACAATTCCTTTAAATAGCAACAACATAATTTTAAGTGGTTTATTTAGTGTAACACGCAAAGATTGTAATAAGCCAGAAACCTCTCCAGGAATGGTGGCCCTGTCAGTGCCTCCTTTCCTGAGATGATCTTTCTAAGCTAGCTAAGCTATCGAGGACATCTGGAAACAGGTGTGTTTTTGTGTGCTTTTCATCCATTGGCCAAAAAGGCTTCATTTGCCCACCCACTCTTGACTCTCTCTGTGACTCCACTGAGAAATTAGCACGTGAGCCTGCAGCTCCACACTTGCTCTCTATGGGCTGCAGAGTTTCCCTCTGTGGGTAACCTGTTCCACACAGGAGAAAACGCAGCCACGCAGGTACCTGGCTGCTGTTACAAATTCATTACAAATTTAATTCTTCTCACAGACTGCTGGGTCTCACCCTCACAGGCCTTGAGACAACACTTCCAGTGAGAGCGAAGTCGCTGGTGTTCCCCTTATCTGGCTTGGCAGCACCAGGTCCCAGTGCTGTGTCCCAGCCCATGCTGGAGAAGTTGGGAAATACTCACTCCAGTCCTAGGCGGCAGAGGTCACTCTGATTTCCCCAAGCATGTCTCAGTGGCCATCCCTGTTGGTGTTCTGCCTTGGTTTCTTGTCTGTATTTACTATTTTTGGCTTAAATTCCATTTCTTATGGCTTTGGCTGCAAAGGAAAAAGATGAAGAGGGAAGCCTCCACCACATGCTGATAGGCTACAGGCCATGAGGGGGTTTTGACAATGTTTCCCAGACAAGACCATCTTCTATTCCATGTCCCATCTACAAGATGCATGCTGGTAAGGTGAGCTTGAGCATTTACTCAGCTTCCAAAAAAATCCCTGCTGGAGCTGAGAGTCATGAGGATCTACTGAAGCCTTTATTTACACAACTGGTGTAAGTATCATGGAAAGATTATTGCAGAGGAGTGGATATGGATTGTTTAAAGTGGATTTCAGAAAGAATATAGGAATTGATAATTCAGTTTTATGAATCACAAAACCTGGCAGCTAAAACTTAAACAAGGAACTATTTGGTAACTTGTGTCATAACCTGTCCTCCCTATGAAGATACTATCCATCCTTGAAGAGGCTGTGCTACCTGTCTTTTAAGGGATATACCTGAATGTGGTTATTTCTCAGGTTTTGCTCCCCTGTAGGGTTAGCAGCTGGAAAGCATGCTTTATGATCATATTTTGGTCTTATTTTTAATGCATTTCCCCCACCCTAAATTGTTTATCATCTGCTGTAACCTGTTGTTTCAGACAGCTGCTAGATCCTAGCTGATGAGGTTTATTGATTTCTGACTGTGATCTTGCAAATCTTATTTCAAATTCATCATCTGCCAGAGCCGTACTGGGAGCCTGAGCTTAACTGCAAAATGTTACAGATGAGAGAGCTCTCTCATGGGCCTTTTCGTGTCTGTAAAGCCCCTCTGTGTGCCCTGCTCTGGAGTAGCCCACCCTGATGCCAAGAGGTCTCAGAGCAAACCCTGACCCCTTCCTCTCCTGCAGCCCCATGCAGGGCTGTGCCTGACACCTTGGTGTGCCAGCACCGGCTGTGCTGTGTTGTGTTGCACCATGGAAGAGGAGAGACAAGGAGCTGTGCACAGCAGATGTCAGGCAGTGGGTTGGTGGCCCAGCTTGGTGGGTGGCAAGCCCCCCTTGTGTCAGCCCACTTCCAGCCCTGCTCTCCTCACACACAAATTATGGTCCCGTCCTCCCCACTGCAACAGAAAGCCTGAAAACCTGAACCAGATGCAAGGTTTCACCTGAGTTTACAGACAGCCTGGAAGCAATAATTCTGGGAGGTATAAACTGCTCCTTTCATCATAATAAGATGTTAATGGGGGGAAAGCCCTGCTACTCCAGGCAGTCCTCTATTAATGCTGGTGCAGCAGCTGGGAAAAGGATCTGCTGGATCGGTTTCAGCAGTGCCCACCCCCGTGCTTCCCCCATGCCCATGGCTTAGGGCTTCCCATTCAAATGTCCCCTTGATGTGGTCCTGATTCCTGAGGCAGAGGATGCCTGCTTGTGTCCCTCCCCCCAGCTCAGGGTCCCCCAGGTCCCAAGGTCTCTGGTGAGGGCTGTGGGCAGCAGCACACAGGACTTCTCAGGGCCTGAGCAAAACATCTGTTTGCCATTGCTTTGGGTTGTTTATAGCATTTTGATGCTCTCTTCTGCAACATTTTATTTTAAAAGGCCTGGTGATACTCCCATGCAAAGTGTATCCAAAGTGCAGCTTGCTCCTGGTTTATGCATTTCAGCTAAGTTTGCCTATAATTTGGGATGTTCCCAGGGCATGTGCCCCTCTGATGCAAGACCACATATAAGAATATCATTCCCAGCTCTCACGTCTCTGGTCACAAGCCGTGCTGCTCTGCTCTCCTCCTTGCTTTCTATGGGAAGGGACGTTTGGGCCAAACCAAACTGTCCCTTCTTTGACTTAAAGTAAAAAAATTACTTTGGAAGTCAGGCTGCAATCTCTCATAATGCAGGATGGGATTAGAGGGGCAAATCAGCCAGTGCCCTCCTTTGCAGTGCTCTGTATATGTTTGCTTTTCTATTGTGGGAAGTCCATACACGTGGTACAGGGCTCAGGCAGCTTTTAGGTAAGAGGAACAGAGGGGTAACGTGTTTTCCGCTGGGCAACCTTATCTGCTCTGATTGTGCTGGATTTTCAGCTGAGGGAAACTGTGAAGGATAATTACCATCATGTGTTACCTGAGATTACAGGGTTGCTTTCCAACTAATGACACTAGGAGAACCAAGCAGTTGTTAATATTTAATCAGACTCTTGGCTTAACAATTGGATAAATGAGGTGTGTAATTACACAATTATAGAAGACGTTTCAGATAGGAACTGTGCTGTTATTAATAGTGAAGGTGAAAGCTGGTGAACATACATCGTTCAATCCCATCAAGCACGTCATTAAAAAAGATCTTCAGCACAAGAGTCTAACAGCATGTCTTATGAGATGGTAAACAAAGGTTTCAGCTGCTTTTGAGATAAAAATTCCTGCTTGGCCAAGAGGTTTCAGTGTAAGAAAAAATACCAGACCAGGTGTTTTGTTGATGTGGCAAGCTGTAATCAGGGGTAAGTAGGGAACATTTAAATACGTACACAGAGTATATCACACATTTATGGTTGTGCTTTATGTATAATTTCTCAGCAGTCAGGCAATTATTTTCCTTAGGTTCTTCATTTTAAATCTTATAGGAAAGAGAGAAGTACCTTTTAATTCAATGTAGTGCCTGCCTGCCCAGTGGAACTTTTCTTTAAAATAAGTGTTGTCGTATAGCACATATAAGATGTTGTGTTTGATTGCAAAGTGCAAGTCAGAATGAAAATGGAGATGCTGTCTATAATAATATCATTAGTCTGTTCCTTTAATCCTGTGCTTTATCTCAGCTCCTTTAAAACTTTACTCTTTTCAAGTGATTTGGATTTGAAAATATTGCAATAGTTGTAGTTCTTCAGTGTTCCACTACAGTGACCACTAACTGTAAGTCTCTCAAGCGTCAATTAGTGGGATACAGAAAGCTAACATCAAAATCAAGGAACTTATTGACCAGCACTATTGCAGGTTAGTGATATGAATTGGAATAATGCAGGAAATTGAATCTTTTCACAATGTGCTGAGACAGCATTCAGGTGTTAAGGTGATTTCCCAAATGAGAGGCTGTAAAAACAATAAGCACGTTTCTTGGCAGATGCTATGGGCAATAGTGTTTTGATTCTCTCCTCTTCCCAACTAACCTTCCTGAAAAGTTTGCAGTCATCTAGATCTGGATGCACAGGCATTGTTGGATTTCTTAGCGTCCAGTTCCAGCTGTGACTAGATACCACCACTTCTGGGGTGCACTTTGAGATCAGGGGAAGAAATGTCCTGTCGAAGTCACATTAATATTTTTCTTCTAGAGATATTTACATTAGGAAATCATGTAATTAAAAGTGGTGTGCATGCTCAGTGCTCGGCTGAGAGCTGGTTTTGTGCCAGTGGCTGAGCTGCACAACATGCTGTCAGGTCCTCTCAGCATGTGCTTGCACAACAGTTCCTCTTTAATATCAATTTGTACTTGGTGTTGAGCTCCTGCTGTGAAAAGTGCAGAACCCTTCAATTACAGTGATGCAGAGCCAACAGGTTTAATTAGGAAAATAAGATTTACCTATATGATATGTTGGAACAGATCTGTAAAAGGAGACATACAGAAATGCACAAACATAGTAATTTCCTATAGAATGTTACCCTGTGATCCAATTTAGTGCAACTTGTTTCTTCGTCCTCTGTCTTCTCTGCCTCACTTTGAGTCTGCCAATCCTGTCTTGGCCAAATTAGTTTCCCTGAAATAATTGTCCTCTATTCTGCCTTTGCCTTTGTCATGCACCTTCCTAAGTCTGCATCTCTGCAGCTCCCAGCCTCACTTTTGAGTTCTGTATGGCCATGGACTGTGCCCTCCATCCTCCTTGGCAGGCCTCTGTTGCTCATATGTGATACTCACGTTCTTGTGCTCCCCATTCCTTCTAGAACTTTCATTACATAACCACCAAGAAAATAGTTGGTAAATAGACTTGCAACTCTCTTTACTTTTCAGGACTTGATTCCTCTGCTTTGCTGTCCCCATGGGCTGCCTCAGAATTACTGGACGAAATATAGTTTAGAAACTGAGAAACTTGGGAGATTTGAATGTTGTCCAGACAAGCTAAAATACATTGAACCTGTTTGGTTGAGAACCCACTCTCATTGCAGCTCCATCCATGAGTTGTCCAGGCTTCCCTAGGGAAGGACCACCCATGGCACTTGGCTGTGAAGCATTTCATATCTTTATATCCCCGTGTAAAGGGATTTGGGATAACAAAATAAGCAGCATGCAAGGCTTTCCACCCTCACCCTGCAGGCCCAGGCTAGCCTGCCCTTTGAGGGAGGGTGGCCACATGGTGAAATCCCTTTTGGCCCATGTGACACAGTTTTTCCGCGAGCAGGGGGGAAACTGCTCTTGACTGGTGGGTTTGTGCTGGAGTGGGCAGAGAGCTGCCTACAAGGTCCTGCCTGCTGGGAGCATGGGCTTGATGATGCATAACTTTCTGTAACAGAGTCCAGCCTCCTCCCAATGCACTGCTTTTAGCAGATGGTTTCATTATCTATAAAGCTTTTTGTTGCATCATTTCCCGTTAGTCAAGACATGATCTGTGCCCAGTGCTACTGCAGCAGTTACGATAAAGGCCTTTGCTGTTGGCTTTTGGGGGGAAATCCAAGACTGACGGAGGACTTTTTTAGCTAAGGCAAGCAAGATTCATTTGTTAATTAACATTCGTGGCACCTTGAAAGCAGAAAATGCTGCGTGTGTACTTAAGTATTTTTCTAGAGTCAAGATGGCTTACATTTAAACTTTTTGAAGCCCTAATGACTTGGTCTATCAATTCCTGATCAACTCTATCTATGAAAATAAGAACAAACCAGAAAGATGTTGAGCCCTGCCACCTGAAGAAGGCTTCTCTTTTCCCAGGTGTGGGGTATTCCCTTTCCTACCTGCAGAACACCTTCAGAGTCAGTGATCATAAACTACTTACTTATGAATACATAAAACATCTATTTAATTACAACGTTAAAATATGTGGAATGTTTCAAGGACGCTGCTTTGTAGCTTTCTGCAGATTGAGCACATCAGTAATTTATGCACTGTCTGGCTTTGCATGTTGTTCTGAGCTATTTACACTCATCCTCGGGTGAAACATGGACCATGGCAACTTACCCCAGTCAGACAGGACACTTTGCAAAGGGAACACACAGTGACAAATGCTGTCTCACAAACTTTTGAAGCAGTGCACACTCAGATGCACATGGACAAGCAATTCTCAAAGAAAGATGAGTTGCTATTATTGTGGAGCTTGGGAGTAAATTTAGCTTTCTGCCAGACTGGTACCTCCATTTCTCTAGTCATCATTTGCAGAGGCAACTTTCATGGAATCCATAAAATCAGTTTGTTTCTATCTTTTCCTTTGAAGAAAGTCAGTGTCACCCAGAACTCACGGAGCTCTCAGCTGGATGCACGTTGGCTGCCCTGTTCGATCCCCTCTGAGCTAAATGTGTTTGTTTGCATTTAATCTCCTTTGGAAGGAGAGAGAATCCAAAATGTATCTTCTGTCTGTGCAAAGATCCTTCCATGGGTTCATCCCACAGCCCTCACCGGTGGTATGCAGGGCACTTTAGAATAAATTAGAGACACCAGCTATTCCTCTGTGTAATATCTCCTGAAGAAAAAAATAAAAGGAGGTTGCAAGAATATGGATAAAATTCAGGGTGCATCCTAGCTTTTAATGAATCTCTGAATATCAAAAGTAAATCTGCTAATGTGGATGATGTAGTCAATGGAGAGTAACCAAAAGGCTCACTGAACTCTTTTTGAAGGTTTGAATAAAAAGGGATTTCTTCTGGTGCTTCTGGTCAATGGACATGTTAAGTTACATGCAGTCAATTGATTAATAAGTCAAATGCAGTCAATGCAGAGGAGTAGGACATCTGTGGAAGCCCAGGGAGAGGGAAGATGAGTGACGAGCTCGTATTTTGGCAGGGAGGTGACTGCAAGTCTGAACTCATTTCAGCATAAGGAGACAAGTGAAATAAGGCAGTATTGGGTTCTGCAGGATCCACTTATCTTTTATCTGTACAGTTTAGTTTCTATTTGTAAAAGAATAGATGGATGTTATGCAACATTTTTTCTAATTCTCCAGCTGCAGAAAACAAACCACATCTGGCACATAAAATAACAATGAAATTATCTGAAAGCTGTACTGTTCTTAAAAGCAGCTACAAGTATGTGTTCAAATAACTTGCTGGAAAAGAACAGGTCCAATTTGTCAGATGATAATACACAAGCTTAGAAGGAGGGAAAAATAAAGCCAAGAGAAATATTGCACTTCAGAGAGTTCAAATAAAGAGGTTCTTTTCCACCAGTCTTCTGAAGGCTTGCAAGACATAAATTACACAAACAGCATTTAAAAACAGGAATGCAAAAATCAAAGAGCAAAATTAAAAGCTCTGTTCACGTTCCAACTGTGTAACAAGTGTGCAGCAGATGTCAGAGGCCTATGGTTAAGAAATCCTCTGGTCTGGACGCACAATCTCCAGTGTGTCCTGCTGGCACGCATCTGAGGGCAGGCTGTAACAAACGTACTGTCAGCTGTATAAAACACATGGTCTGTGAGGAGAGGAAATAGTGCAAATCTGGCAACAATGCTTTCACTTGTATTTCTCTAAAAAAGCTATTACTTCATAGCAATTCTGAACGAGGAGCCACCAGTGGCCCGAGAGCTGTCGCACTCCATCTCCTCCTTTCCTGGTTCCTCTCTCTCTCTGGGGCTGAGGTTTCCAGTGAAGCACAAGGTAACTTACTGTGCCTTAAAATGGAGCAGTTCACCTTAACTGCAGCTGACGTTTGGGTTCCAAGGATGTAACCCGCTTTCATGGTCCATTATACCCTATTTGGGTGAAAAGACTTGTGCTGCCAAAAGCAAAAAGGAGTAATAAAAATAAAAATAGCATATTGAAATAGTTTAGCTGAGGGAAATTGTCAAAAGACTATGGATTTATTTCTTTGGTTTTAGATTTACAGTGATTTCTAAAGCTGAATTTTGATAATGTTCTTAAAATATGTCAGACTTCACACATTAAGTGGTAGAAAAATACCCTGCCTCCTACACTCACAGCAGTGGGAGAAGCATGTTATGATGACTATATAAAGCCCTTCCTGCAACTGAGTTGTTCTTAAGTTAAATATTTTTATCTACCAAACAATAATAAAACATCAGTCAATACCACACACAGATCCCAGATGAATGCAAGACTGAATGCACATTAAAGGCTTTGCTGCCAGCCCCAACAAGAGGGTTTTTCATGCAGGTTTGCAGGCTTAACATCCTTTAAACAACTCCCCTTTACATCACCTCCGCAGTTGCAATGGACTTTACTGTGGGAGTAAATTACACGCCCGCTTAATCTGAGAGGGTTTAGATTAAATGTGAAGTGTCACCCTGGGGGTGGAGGGGATGGGCTGGCTGGGGAGAGGGAGGTGGTAGGGGGAGATGATGCCTACGAGCCTGACATAGAATAAAATTAACTAGTTCTGCTCAGTGTACATTTTATTCCTTGGAATAGCTGTGAGTATGAGCTGAATTCTGCGATAGGAATTGCTGTTTGTCTGCACCTTCTCCTGCCTATTACAGAAAAGGTTAAGAAAAAGTATGTTCACATTCAAGTTTTCAGTATGTTTATTAATACGAAATGTATAAAGTTTTTGGAGTTGTACACTGCAAGAGCAAGGCATGGGAAGGCAGGTGTAAAATGTACTCTTTCATATCAGTGGCAGCTGCAGTTTCATTTTTGTGGCAGAGTGATAAATGACAGGAATTCACAATGTTCCCCCAACTCCTTTGGAAGATGTATTCTATAGAATGAAAATAGAAGCACTGAATTATTAAGAATCATTCAATTTACATATGAAAATGGTACAGTGTCATGTTAAATACACCATATTAAGAGGTCAATTAGAGACCTATTTTGAGTTAATGGAATTAGTCGTTTTTTTATTTTACATTTTAAATGCAATATTTCAAGGTGTAGTGAAGATCGAAGGAATAGAAAATAGAGTAATCCAGTTAAAGGCAGTTAATGCTTGTGGGATGGCTGAGAACAATGCCAGCAGGTGAAAGACTGTGATGGGGCAAGGGTTGAGCAGGCAGTGCCCTTTTCTTTCCATCTACACTGACTCCCCTGTGCATGTGAGCAAAAAATGCTGGTTTTTAAAGTACATTCCCTATATCCAAATAGAACATAAAACAAGGAAAAACATGCTTGAGCCCTGACTCCCAACCACAACCCTCATTTCACTAAACCTTACAGCACTTTCATTAAATCTTTTTTGGTTCAGTGGAAACTGAGCATATAAAAAGTCTTGAGCGCAATATTGCAACTGGTCAAGGTACAACTCTTGCATTACTCACTGAACAGTTGTTAAGATGCAGATTTGCATTGGAATCAGCTCCAAAGGGAAATAACTAGAAAGAACTTCTCTACTCTTCAAAGGGTTTGCTGCTTCTGTGATGCCCTTGGAATATTAATGCACATGGAAATTGTCCCACTCCATCTTACAAGAGAGAAGATGACTGCAAAAGGGGAAACCTCTGGACTGAACAACAACTCAATAAAAGAGGTACTTGATGTATTTTGGCATCTGAGGACAGTTCTGCTCACAATACCCCAGGACTTTTGCTAACCTTCTCCTTCCACACTGCCCAAGCACATGTTTATTGGTGGTTCCACTGGGGACCTGGATTCAGCTTGAAAATCAACCAGAGAAAAAAAAGCAATAGGATGGTTTTCTTACAATTGATGTATTCTTGCCCGTGTGGCATAAATTGCTGCCAAATATATATGTATATGTATACACTCTCCTTTTTCCTGGTTTCTAGATAAGGCACAGAGAGTATTTTTATATTTGGAACACTGTTTACAGTACAGGCATGCAGGAATGCAGTTTTGTCACCAGAGTAACTAAAGAAATTATAGATACAGTGCATAGAAGGGGACACATTTACGCTGTACAGAAGAACCTGGTGATAGTTTAGCTCACACTCATCCCTGTGCACATATGCTGCTGCTGCAGTGTCTGCACAGAAGAGACTAGACTCCCCTCCCAGCTGTACTGCTGTACTAGTGAGGTGTCTCAGCTCAATTTCTGTAGCAAAGCAGGCATATATTCCTCTTGATTCATCTTGTCTGGTCACAGTTGAAGTTTCCAAAATGTTTTGGTGATTTTCTCCCTACGGAGCTGGTACCAGTCAAAGAAAACCACCAGATCCTAAAGACTCCAATGCTTGTATAATGATAATTTGAAAACTATACTTGGTGGAACATTAAGAAGGCTGCATTTCCAGTTGGTTGAACCATGTAACTGGGTAGGACTCTGGGACTAAAGGGTGCCAATTTTAAAACTAGGAGGAAACTTGTCCTCCAGTGCTTTGCCACAGAGCCCACATCACTACCTCCTTCTACTGCAGTGGTCAGATCCTGCACTGGAAAGATGTCAGCAACCAAGCCAGGTCTCCTGGCTTGGGAATATGAGCCATTCACTTTCCTGTAAGCTGGGCCACAAGACCACTCATTTCCTGGCACTTTCTGACTCTTGATCTTATTCCACAGATTTTTCCTTTACAAACAACGGGGGGAAAGCTGTGGAAAACAGAAAGGAGAAATAGGTCACACTAGAAATTCTGAAACCTCAGCAAATCTCTTGTTTAAAGTGATTAATTCAGTGACCTCTGACCACAAGACAGACCTTCAATTTGCCAGCAGAGGATAAAAGAGTCAAGATCTGAATAAGTAAAGAGGGGATGAAGGGTGAGTTAATCCAGTAACTGTGAAGGAACACTGGAAATAAAAATACTCAACATATATGTTTCTTCACTTTAGTCCTTCTGGTGCATGGAGTTTATTTCTGGATATGACGGAATATCAGGTACATTTATGTTCTTTTTGATCTCTACTGTTTGATCCAGATCCAGCCAGCACAGCTGACTGATGCTCTTAATGCTATTAAGAAGCACAGTCTGCATTTATTTATTTCTTTAGAATAAAAACTCAAAACGTGCTTGCAAAATGGTACAAGGGCAAAAGAAAATTAGATACTCCAGTATCTTTTCACATTTTGATTTTTCTTCGATGAAGTTTCTTGTCCTAAAATATATATATATATATATTGTAATGGAAAGTGACAAACTGGTCAATGACATTGAACACTTTTGCCTGAGTTCCCTGCAAAACTCCCCCACAGAATATAATCTTTCATCTGTAGTTATAAGCCTGTAAGCTGCTTATACTATTTTTAGTCTAAATTCACCTTTCATTTGGTTAGTCTCCAGCAATCCAGACCAAATTTGCACTTGGAAGTTCCCTAGTTGTTTCCAGTTAACACCATTAAAAAGTGAGAAAGGAGTTTTGAAATAAATTGTCTCAGGACTGTTCATATATTTGCTGCTGGACAGTAACCAGATATGTGTTTGCAGTATCTGACCTCCTTTGTGTGATAGCTTTAATCATACTGTTCTCTCCCATGTAGAAAAGAAGACCTGTGGGAAACTAATTTTGAAAATTCTACTGTCCAGCAATTTCAATGGCATGAAGACTTCCCCATAACTGTTTATGCCAGTAGCCCTTTAAAATGAGAGAAAGAGTCCTTGGAGCAAGATAAAATGCCCGACTGGTACCTCCTGCAGTCCATTACTTAGTTAAGGTTCAATCACTAAAGGTTCACCTATTGCTTGAATGATTTTCCATTTTCATGTGTGGTTTAGGTTCCATTTGACACCAAATTATCAGCCTGTTACTGACTATTTGATTTTACTGTAAGAATAAATGGAGAAGTGAAGATGAAATGTATAATACAAACCTTGTCTTCCCACCATCATAAATGTTTTAAGATTCAGCCAATAATGTATTAGACTTCATTCCTTTCCTCAAATAGAAAAACATTTCTTATAAGTGTGTATTAACTCTTATTTCTTAAGTACGGGGGTTTTATGGTTCTCAAAAAGGAGTCCTGAGAGAACCATTGACTCTGTTATTGTCTGCACAGCAAAACTGCCATTTCAGTTGTCTTCGATTAAATCATTATCTTCTTTTTTTCTGCTTTATTCTTTCTGAAGACATAAGAAGACATTAGTAGCAGAGATAAAGCTGTTGAAAGTCCAAGAAACAAAAATGGGAGATTATTAATAGCTGTCCAGTAAAAGACTAGAAATATTAGTCATTAGTTTATAATACTATAGTAGAGGATGAGGTAAAGTTTTGGCTTTTGCTAGGTATGGTGTGATAAAACGAGAACTGCCTATAATTAATATCTATTGTTATTATTTACTGAGCATGCCAAAGTGAATACTGATTGACATGAAAATACACAGATAGAACCCACCAAACAGGAACTTTATGTAACAAAATAAATTGTAACAAAACTGATGATGGCAAGGAGGGTCCGTTTGAATCTTCCCTTCCCAGACAAAAGCCTTGCAACTCCTTGGAGGCCAGAAGTTTCTCACCTTGTGCTAATTAAGCCCATTGGTGATTTAGTGTTTGCTCTGCTAGATCTGGATCACCACATACATTTTAATGCTACTGCATTACAGTAGCAGGAAACAGTCCACTTACATTCAGAAAAAGATGCCAATATTGGGTGTAATGTATAACATTCTCCAGAAGCAGTAGCGGGAATTACATAGACAATAGCTGGAAGTTCAAGTAACAGGAAAACATTGACACTATCAATCACAACAGAGCCTCAGCTGCAGTTAAGATTTACGATGTCAATCTCATAATATAGACCTGTTAATGAAAATCAAAGATTGAAACATTACTAATCTATTGGGGCAGGCTCATGAAGGCTTTAATGAAAGCATCTTCCCATTGAATGGCTACATGGGAATGGCTGTAGCAGTATTGCAGGACCCTCAGTAGTTACAGCCCTTGCACATTACCACTGCTAGAATTTTAAATGGAATTTTGAAAAGTTTAGGCTTTCCTAAAAAAAGGATATGGGGCTGCTGATCTTCCAATAATAGCTTCATGGTCTTAAAATCAATAGTAATAATTACAGATAAGAGGCAGAAAGGGTCCATTAATACCTAAAAACCTATGGTATTCAGGACCAAATTTAGCATAGAAAAAAAGGGGGAAAATTAATCTAACTATGCAGAAACCTGGCAGGTTGTAGGGGCTTATATTTTGGGAAGTAATGATATTCAGGCCTCTGAAATCCCTTTTGCCCAGTGAGAAACCTGTCCCATCTCAGCCAAGCCTAATTCAGGAAAGGTTTGATTTGTTATTCAGATCTTTGCACTCACTGACAACATTAAATTTGAAAGAACGGTAAGAGTCTCTGCCTTAAAGAATGCCAGAAACCAGAAATATCCCCAACATAGGAAGATGCTTCTTCCCTTCTGCCCTTATGCCTCACATGCCCTCACTGGAAAGCCAAGACAGAGCAAGTGGCTGTGATTGCTATCAAATGAAGAATTTTTTTAAAAAACTCTCAAAATTCCTGAACAAACTTCTTAGTGTAACCTGATACTCTGAGAAGCTGTGTTTTTCATTTGAAATACTTTTTTCCTAGTGTCAATGTCTGGTAAATAAAGAAGACACATCCTGGTTTTGAGTGTCTAATCATAAGTAGTGACAAATAAATATGCCTGCCAGAATTCAATACATATATTAATCAGAGTATATGTGCACACATGCCAACAATTTCTCAAAATAAGGCTCTTAATAATCCATGCCTATCTAATTTTGCATTCCCTCCAAGAGCAAGTAGACATATATGGATGGATACACTTTTATAGCTAAGCATGTATGTACATGCCTATGAGTAAGGACATCAAAAGTGGAACTGAAGACAGAAAAGCTAGTAAAATGTGAGTGCTGTCATCCAGCACTGTTGTTCGTAGCATTAAGGTGAAATATTGCTGAAGACTTAAAAGTATTGCGAAAGAGCTAGATGTCCTCCATTAATTTTGGATAATTCCACCTTGTGAAAAGATGAACTCTTCTGTTTGTTCAGGGCAAGGAGGATTATCCTTGGTATTTCTTCTCCCATCAGATAGCTGCGTTAGACTTCAGGCCCCTGATTCTGCCAAACAGCCTTCAGCAGCTAGGGTGGTGACTGCTGGCCAGAGCTCTTCCCCTGCTTTGACGGGTTAAATGCACTGGGCTCAGGTTTATGCAGCTCAGCAGGGGTCAGCCCTTCTGATCCTGGGGTGTGGTTTGGCTGTCAGTGTCTCCATTTGCTGGATTTTCCCCCAGCTAGACACAGCAATCCTGGTCCTGCTCCTGCTGACAGGCAAGGGGCTGTAAAGCAACTGGGCTTTCATCAAGCAGATGTGATCTCATGCCTTTTTGTGTTCAAGAGTTTCAACAAGTTTTGCCTCTGCTCTTGGCTCAGGGGAGGCTTTGTCCTGTCCCTGTCACCCAAACCCACCACCAGAAGGACAAAGCACCACCAGCAGCCCACCAGCAACCAGCTTACTGTGCCCAGCTGGGGAGAGCACTCCCAGTAGCACAGAGCCCATGGCTCACCAGGGACATGTTGAACAGACAAGAGTTGATCTCAAACCTCAGGTTTCCCTGTCCCTTCAGCCTCATGCACACAGCTTTGGGTTC